TTGGTGATACAATAGTAAAAAATTAAACAAAATAAGAGAAACAAATAATAAAAGAACATAATCTTTTTTAAAGTTTGGCTTTACCCCTTTCTACTTCTGAACTGCAAATTTATTTCCTGATCAGCATACAGGCTGTTCTGTCTGTTGGACTGTTTTCAGGAGGCAGAGCATGAATTAACAAATACTTAGTAATCCAAATTTTAGGTGTTGAAACAGGTTCACTTTTATGATTTTATCAGGTTATTAAATGACGAGGGAAATTACGGCATTAATGAAAAACAAAATGGGCAAATTTTAGCATCAGAAAAGTATCAAGAGTTTTTTTTCTTTGGACAGAATAATCCTTGTCTTTTACTGAAGGGCTTTGTGTGTTTAAAAAAAAAAAAAAGAAGAATCCTTGCCTGAGTAACAATGTTTAGTATACAAAGAAAAGTATGCTTGTTATGTTAAAAATGGCCAAAGAGAAGAGAATAAGTACTGGTTGAGTGAAAATATAGATATGAATGTATATTTAGAGAAGAATGATAAGATATATAATCATGTTATATTAAGAAATGAAAGTAGCAATAAAAGAAAGAATGACAAACTTTTAATCTGAAAGTATATTTAGTTATTTAGACTGAAAAGTAAAACTCTTCTGGTACTTACCAAAAGCTAAAAAGTAAACAAGTAGAGCTATGGTCACTGCTAGGATTGTCACCCCTGCGACGACAACGAGACATACTACATATGGATTCAGAAATCTTGAAGTAGACGGCCCCCGTGCTGGCCTTAGAACAAGAGAGAAAAATCAAAGGTCATTCATTTCGCTCAGAGAAACCATCGTTTCAGTGCCATGATCATCTGTCTTGCTCAGTTCCTCAGCTTGTGCATGGCTCTATTCATAGGTATATAGCCCTAGAAATAAACCTGAACTGAACAAGGCTGTCCTTAATGGTTTTCCTTCTAAGCTTTCATTGTTGTTGTTTTAGCACAAAACAATTGACATTGAAGTAGTTTGGTGGAAGCATAAGGAAATTTGATCTATGGTTTGGAATTGCTTCTGCCAATTGATACAGTTTTCAAGAATAGCAGCCTGGGCAGCATCCCAGCCATGTACTGCAGAGAGATTGCTTTGAGTGGGAGGAAGGGTAAAGGAACCTGGAGAAGCAGGGGTGGGGTGGGGAGGGAGTCAGCATTCCTCACTGCAACATTCTCCATACTATTAAAAATGCGATGTGGACAGAGGCAGAGAGCTGGGATCAGGGAGGGTAGCGAGACCCTGAAATTCATTAGAACGGCTCCAATAGCAGGGGATTTATGATTTATCATCTTTCTCCATGAATCCATCAACTGCAATACAAGTCGATAGACTCGTACTAATACAGTCTTTGGTGTTATACTAGGCAGAGAGCCCAGGAATAAGACAATTTGCAGCCGCCTTTCCTCCAACACACACACATAGTCACACACTCTCACACTGGGGAAGGAGGTCACCAGAGGAGCTGGATGTGAATTCCAGTTTCACCCCTTGTTGGCTTGAAGATCATATTGCCATTTATCTGAGATTTTCTTCCTGAAAGATAGGAATGATAGCATGTACCTCCCAAGCTTGTTTTGAAGATCCAATGAGGTCATGCTAAGTGTTACGAAGCATCTACTTGTAGT